TAGCAGTTCATTTAAACTAGCCAGTACAAGGGCTAAAAGAAGTTTTTAAACCAACTTTTAAATTAACATTTCATTCACCTCAGTTGAACTCTTAAAAAAACAAAAACCTTTCTGCTTTGGTGTTAAGACCTCCTGCTTAGCCTTTAATTAGTCATGACTATTCTAATTTTGAGCTATACCTTTTAAACTTTGTGAACTGAAGAGAGATCTACAGGCAAAGCGACAGTTGAGGTTCCAGCCCATTGTTTTTATGCTTACGTTGCAGATAATAGTCTAGGAGGGCTGGATACACATTGTGTAAAGCAATTATAGCTTATCAGTCTGGCACATACGCACCAACTCTATGGGGCTGAAGACAGCTCAGCCCCCTTAAAGTATGAGGGATGGGACTGAGCCCCCCAATCTTGAGGGGCCGGGCCCCGCTGGGCCTTCTTGCAGGGCCTCACTGTGGTAGCAGAGGGCCTCTCCAGGCCTCATGGCCTCCTTCCAACATGTGTGCCATCACATGTGTATCACACGTGTGACGTCACGCACACGCAACCAGCCTCATCCAATGCTGTGCAGAACCCGGTGCCTCTGGTTTGGGGAAAATATGTGCAGTCCATCACCACTGTTTGCCCAAAATTTCGTGGTATCAAAGGATTTTTTCCCCATTCCCCACAGCTCCCTTTTGGAGAGTGTATGGTGACTTATACAGTGGTACCTCGGGTTACATACGCTTCAGGTTACATACGCTTCAGGTTACAGACTCCGCTAACCCAGAAATAGTTCCCCGAGTTAAGAACTTTGCTTCAGGATGAGAACAGAAAAGATGCTCCGGCAACGCAGCGGCAGCAGGAGACCCCATTAGCTAGAGTGGTGCTTCAGGTTAAGAACAGTTTCAGGTTAAGAACGGACCTCCGGAACAAATTAAGTACTTAACCAGAGGTACCACTGTACTGGGCAATGCTCTGCCCATTCCCAACCAAACACTAGACACAGATCAGGAATGGGGGCAAGAAACCCACATGCAAAAAAAGATGCTATGAAACCATGAGGAGAGTTTTCAGCTCAAAAAATCAACAACGATCGCCACAAGTTCTGTGCTAGTGACTTGAATGACAGCTTGCTAAGCAGAACTGCAGCTGGTAAAGTTCCTACCTTCCCATGAAATTTCAACTGCTAAGAACAATCTTGCCCACTTTATTTCTGCGCCTCAGGCTGCTGTAAAGGCACCTAAGCAGAATCCTTTTTTTTAAAAAAAAAGTGAGAAATCCTCATCAAGTCCACAAAGTTGAACATTTCATAGTTATTAAACATGAAACACTTAGTCAGATTTTGCAGCCATAAGCTGCAAATCTAAAGATAGTCAGAGGTGACCTACATGTGCAGATAAAGCACATGGTACAGTTAAGGCTGCCAACTGAACAGAAACTTTGTCTGGTCTGTTCCTGTGCCTTAACAGCCAATTACTTGCTAAGTTTCTGCAATGCAAACTTTCCCAGTGTTTCCAGCTCACCTGCTAATATCTGTGGATGAAGCCACTGGAGCAGGTGCCAGCAGTGCCAGACCCAGCGCCATTTGACAATGCATCGAGAGGCATGACTGAATGCTCCCATGGGGGGAAAGGCGTACATGCACAACCCCAACCAGTTCTGAGAGGAGGAGGAGAGGGAGAAAGCAAGCTGTTGCCCCACCTCATCACGAAGTGCCCTAAATCAATAGATCTGATGAGCTAAGAGAGAATCTGCCTCTCACTTTAATCCGAACCTTCATGATGTTGCCAATCAGAGACATTGCTTGGTATTTAATATGGGTGAGCACACTTCAGATTAATTTACAGATTAACAAAATTATTCATCAGAAGAATTCAGGTAACTTCCAAAAGTGTAAAAGGGTAAAGGACCCCGGACGGTTAAGTCCAGTTGTGAACGACTCTGGGGTTGCGGCGCTCATCTCGCTTTACTGGCCAAGGGAGCCAACGTTTGTCCGCAGACAGTTTCTCCGGGTCATGTGGCCAGCATGACTAAGCCGCTTCTGGCGAAACCAGAGCAGTGCACGGAAACGCCGTTTACCTTCCCGCCGGTACGGTATCTATTTATCTACTTGCGCTTTGACGTGCTTTTGGACTGCTAGGTTGGGCAGGAGCAGGGACCGAGCAATGGGAGCTCACCCCGTCGCAGGGATTTGAACCGCTGACCTTCTGATCGGCAAGCCCAAGAGGCTCAGTGGTTTAGACCACAGCGCCACCAGCGTCCCTCCAAAAGGGTAGGGAGAGGGTAAAGATGGTGCAAGGCAGTGGACTCCCAACAGCAACTTTCAGAGTTCCCCATAGGAACTAACAGAGTTTATCACCCTCCATTAGATCCAGCAGGACAGCAAAAACATGTTACGGGGTATATGCCAAGGGTATGGAGCTCACCTTCATGACTGACATGCTCAGGTGGGTTCTCCATCCTTGGAGTAGACTTCTGTAGCTCCCTCTCTCCTCCCCTGCAGGACCACATGGAGCCACTCTACAAGGGGAAGGTAGATAGAGAGCACAGGAGTAAGTTTCAAGGGAGGCATAAGGAGCATACCCTCCAACATTTTTCCTGTGAAAATTGGGACATCTTATTCCAATATGGGGACACGGGTGATGCTGTGGTTTAAACGACAGAGCCTAGGACTTGCCGATCAGAAGGTCGGTGGTTCGAATCCCTGTGATGGTGTGAGCTCCCGTTGTTCAGTCCCAGCTCCTTCCAACCTAGCAGTTCGAAAGCACGTCAAAGGGCAAGTAGATAAATAGGTACCGCTCTGGCGGGAAGGTAAATGGTGTTTTCGTGCACTGCTCTGGTTTGCCAGAAGCGGCTTAGTCATGCTGGCCACGTGACCTGGAAGCTGTACGCCGGCTCCCTCAACCAGTAAAGCAAGATGAGCACTGCAACCCCAGAGTCATCCGCGACCAGACCTAACGGTCACGGGTACCTTTACCTTTACCTATTCAATTATGATTATTACTATTTTATGCCCTGCCATCTGACTGCGTTGCCAGCCACTCTGGGTGGCTTCCAACATATATAAAAACATAATAAAACATTAACCATTTAAAAACTTCCCTATACAGGGCTGCCTTCACATGTCTTCTTAAGGTTGTAACTACTTATCCGACTAAGCAACAACAACAACATGTGTGATTAAAGGACTGGAGGAAAGTTTCTAGCTCAAAATATTGTTCTAGACAAAGCAGGACAAAAAGTGCCGTGTTTATTGAGTGCCTAGCTTTGCAAATAAAAAAGAGTGATGCACTCAATTCAGAGAGCCAAAAGGCAGCCACTGAAAAATATCCAGTGTCTGGCCAACGTTGCAAGCTGCCTGGTGCCAATTTTCCTTTGGCCCGAAATATTATGCAGCAGGTTTTGCTAACTGAGAAATATTAAGAGTGCTGCTTGAAGAAGCTATAGCCCAACCCAATGTGTTGTTTACTCAGAACTTAGTCCCACTGAGTGCCGTTGGGCTTCTTCCCAAGTAAGTGTGCAGAGACTGCAAACCATAATCTTTATTCCAAAGGAAACAGAGGTAAATTGTTCTTTTTTTTGTTTTTGTTTTTTTAGAAAGCAATGCGGGAAAGAGAACCAATTACTCAAGCAGCTTTTCTACATAGTAGCAATACATTTCATCCGAAAGAAAAACATCACTGTAGTTTACAAAATGAAAAAATGAACAGTTAACCATATATGTTGTTGTTGTTGTTGTTTCCTCAGCCACTCTGGGCTGCTTCCAGCATGTATAAAAATATAATAAAACATCAAACATTAAAAGCTTCTCAATACAGGATTGCCTTCTGCTCTCTTCTAAAAGTTGTGTAGTTCTTTATCTTGTTGACATCCGATGGGAGGCCATCCCACAGAGAGTGCACCACTGCCCCCAAGGCTAGGGTTGCTATATATCTCAACAACTTGTGTCCGGAGTTTAACTTTTTAAAATATGGCAACCCTACCCTCTGCCTGGTTCCCTGTAACTTCACTTCTCACAGTGAGGGAACTGCCAGAAGGCCCTTGGACCTCAATGTCCAGGCTGAATGATGGGGGTGGAGACGCTCCTTCAGGTATACTGGGCCAAGGCTTTAAAAATCAGCACCAACACTTTGAATTGTGCTCGGAAATGTACTGGAAGCCAGTGAAGATCCTTTAGGACCGGTGTTATGTGGTCCCAGTGGCCGCTTCCAGTCACCAGTCTAGCTGCCACATTCTGGATTAGTCGTTTCCAAGTCACCTTCAAAGGTAGCCCCACGTAGAGCGCCTTGCTGTAGTTCTAAAGCTCTCTTCAGGCCTTCCACGACATGTGATGACCAGGGAGGGGTAGCAGAGGGAAGGGATCTCAACAGGCTTTCCTCCTCCATCATATCACCTTCGCAACTCCTGCAGCTCTCCACATGTTGAGGGCTAAACCTCCATAGAGGGAGATCCTTTTTATAGTGGCACAGATTCCTTTGCCAGGATTATAAATGGCACTGGGTGTCTACACAAGTTGAGCATGCTCCTCACGCAATAATCATCACAGAGTCAGAGGAAGAATACCTCAGCAAGACTTAAATGTTGGGGCCAGCCTGAGGTGCAGACAGCCATAATTAGGCTGGGACCTGGAGACTCTGTTCTCCAGCCCAGAGGTCGACAAGCCAGGCTCCCTGTACAAACACAAAGTTGTATACTAGCAACTGCGCAGGTTTGAAATGAAGCAGTTTACCCATGACCAGGAGCTCCCGTTTTTGCTCAATCCCTGGCCATTGTCACCTATTTTTCAGTTTTCATGCACAAAGACCACTGAGAAAGACCAAGCTCAAAACGCATTTGGGTTTTGTGATAGTCAATTACATTCATTTAGTTTGTTGACCTTTTGTTGCAGCGTGACAAATTATGGGCTACATTTCTTCAGTCTGTTGATATTTTGCTAATCTACAGTATGCTTGTATTATTTTGCTTAGTATACAGAATCACGGAATCATAGCATTGGAAAGGACCATGAGGGACATGTAGTCAAACCCCTGGAACACAGGAATCTTTTGCCCAATCTTGAACCCACAACCCTGAGATTAAGGGTCTCATGTTCTACCAACTGAGCCATCCCAGTAATCAGATATGTATTGCTTTTAATTGTTATTAGATCCCATTAAATTATTGTTAAAGTATAAACACACACATGTATGTATATACGTATGTTTTTGTGTAATATGCATTTACATTAGTTAACAATGAATTGATGCCGACTGCAAATAAATACTAGGCAGTTTCCAAGTTCTTAGCTTTATTTGCTAAATACGAGTAAAATAAGCATGCTAAAATAGATCACTCTGGGGAATCTGAACATTTTCCAGAGCAAATTATCCTAATATTTTCCAGATGATTTCCCACAAAACCCACATCATTGGATAAATGCCATTTTTCAAAGTGATGCTACCAACACATTTTTTCCCTTCTAACATGCTTTGGTATTTCCTAATGCACAGTGTCAAACATACACCCAGCACTTTATCTAACCCTCCTGAGTATACAATATGGCCACTAATTGCACCCAATAACTTTGTGCAGAAAAATCTATCAGAGAAATGGCGCATACTAGTTTTCTTTTGGCATGCTGAGAGCTCCAGCTGTGAGAAAGGGGTGCAAATCAAGCATGGTGATTTCTCACTTCCAATCTCATGGTATACCACTCCAGGGAAAACTTTAGCATTTGTTTCTGTTGAACGCTTAAACTGGCCCTATGGCATTACAATACCATTCATACAAAATCACAGACATGAGGTTGCAGAATAGGTAAAAAGGTAAAGGACCCCTGGACGGTTAAGTCCAGCCAAAGGCAACTATGGGGTTGTGGCGCGCATCTCGCTTTCAGGCTGAAGGAGCCGGCATTTGTCCACAGACAGCTTTCCAGGTCATGTGGCCAGCATGATTAAACTGCTTCTGGCGCAACGGAACACTGTGATGGAAACCAGAGTGCACAGAAATGCCATTTACCTTCTCGCCGCAGCAATATCTATCTACCTACTTGCACTGGCGCGCTTTCAAACAGCTAGGTTGGCAGGAGCTGGAACAGAGCAACAGGAGCTCACCCCATCATGGGGATTCGAACTACCAACCTCCTGATTGGCAAGCTCAAGAGGCTCAGTGCTTTAGGCCACAGTGCCACCCACACCTCATAGATGCAGAATACCCAAGATAGACATCGGAATGCCTCCAAATGACTATTTTGGGGGGGGGGGAGACAGGGTAGAACCATGATTTCCAGACCCCAAATTCAAAGAATGCCACCAATAAACCCCAACACATGTAACATCAAATCCTGTAAGAATGAAGTCCTAACTTAGAAGGAATGTTTGAGTCAGGTTATATTTTTAAAACGTCAACAAGCTAGAGGTTCCTTCATTGTGTCAGTAGTTTAGAGAACAAAAGAGCTATAAAACTAATTTGCTCTTTGTCATTAAACTTGACCTATCTTTGGGTAATTTCTGCACTATGGGAGATGAAACTAGGCTGACGGCTGTGCTTTTGTTGACAGCTGCATTTCCTCACTTGCATGCGCTTACTAAGAAATATATTGCGCACCTCAAGCCAGAATGGAAACCTTCAGTTCAGAATAAATTGTTTCTGAAACTGCTTTCTTCCGGTGAAAGACAGGAACCCTAATTAATCTAAGTTTTATCATCCTGGGGATTTTATTCAACTATCTGACAGATGAAGCTGGAGGTGCTAAACCATCAGGTTGCCAAACACTTACTTGCTGGCATTGCAAGCTCTTTGGAAGGGCCGTAACGTCTGCTGTGACAGCACATTGCTAACAGCTGAAGAAGTCTAGGTGCATGTTGCATTGCTAAAGCTAAACCACATCACAACCTGGTTAATGACCTGGAGGGCAGTGGCAGACTTGGGGATTTAAAATTTCTGCAGCACCCATGGCAAAACCAAACTTCACCCCCCTACCTCCTGTTGTTTGTAATTGTTGCAGAGCCCCCCGTGGTGCCCTCTTGGCTCCACCCCCAGTGTGGGCAAATCAGTTGTGCTCCCCTAAATCTGCCTCTGTGGAGTGCAGAACTTCCTGGCAGGAGAGTAGAATAGAAGTATAATGCTTAACAGGTAATAATACGAATGCTTTGGCAGCTTTGGGGGGAGCCAGTGATAGGGGCCAACACAAAGTTTTGGGTCTATTAGACTAAAGGTAAAGGGACCCCTGAACATTAGGTCCAGTCATGGCCGACTCTGAGGTTGTGGCGCTCATCTTGCTTTATTGGCCGAGGGAGCCAGCGTACAGCTTTCAGGTCATGTGGCCAGCATGACAAAGCGGCTTCTGGCGAACCAGAGCAGTGCACGGAAACGCCGTTTACCTTCCCGCCAGAGCGGTACCTATTTATCTACTTGCACTTTGACATGCTTTCGAACTGCTAGGTTGGCAGGAGCAGGGACCAAACAACAGGAGCTCACCCCGTCACAGGGATCCGAACCGCCGACCTTCAGATCGGCAAGTCCTAGGCTCTGTGGTTTAAGCCACAGCGCCACCCACATCCCATTCTAATAGACTACTAGAAAGTAATAGCCAAGCAGCTCGGACTTTGGTGGCAAAGGGGTGGAAGGAAGAAGTCCCGACAATAACGGATTGGCATAACAAGCTACAAGAATTTGCTGAAATGGCACAGTTGACAAATAGCCTGAGAGGCAATTCAAAACAAAAAATTATGGAAAAGTGGGCTAGATATAAGATATATGTTCAAAAATACAGTAAAGGTTCACTATCTTTGCTAGTATTCGATTGACGTTGGAGACTGAGTTGAGAAATAAGACCAAGGGTACATATTGATATAGGAATGTATAAGATAAAATGTAAAGAAACATATAATAATAAGAGTACATTCATTTGTAAAAAAAGGAATATACAACTGGATAGACAGGAAGTCCAAAGTGCTGGTATATATATGATTTGGGAGTAGTTTTTTGTCCTTGGGTTTTTTTCTTCTTCTTTAAGTATATAAACTTTGTATACATGCTGAAAATTATAGTATAATAAGCCTTGTGATGTAATATGATAATGTTTACCAATGTAACATAAGAACTTTAATAAATAAATAAAACTGCAAAAAACAGTAATAATAGCCATGCATTCCTAATTTGTTTTCCAACAGCTCATATTTCAGATCCATTCAACAAAGGGTACCAGGCATTTATTTGCTCATAAGAGAGTAAAAATCCCAATAGACAATTTCACCTGAATGATGACTCACATACTGCATGATATTTCACCACTTGCTGGTTAAAGTAGAATTTAAAGTTTACCGTACAGTGGAATTTATAGCAGCTTTGGCTTCTTGTGGCTTAAGGTGTCAATTATGGACAGTTATTCTGGGAGTGCTTAACTGAACAAAACTTATTTCCATTTGTGTTGGGGAAGGGGACCCTAAACTGCAGAGAAATGTGCGTCTCTTTCTCAAAAAATTTGTTTGCAAAGGAAGAGCAGCTGCAGAAAGCCCGCCAGTATCGTATATTTCCTGCCCAGAAAGCTGCTGGTTGCCTTAACCAGCCTTTGCCAGGTAAGATGTTGGAAACTCAAAACAGTGGAGAGTAGTGCTGCTGGAAGCCACTTCTCTGCCTAAAGCAGAATCCACATGGTAGCCTGTCTCTTCCCTCTCCCTCCACTCCCAGCTAGGACTAACATTTCCAAAAATCTTCCTGCCCTGTTCTAACACCTGTTTCTGCCTTCACCTCTTCCTTCCAGAGTGGTGCATACTCTGGTTATCTCTCACTTGGACTACTGCAATGCGCTCTACCTTTGAAGGTGACCTGGAAACTACAACTAATCCAGAATGCGGCAGCCAGACAGGTGACCGGGAGTGGCTGCCGAAACCACATAACACCAGTCCTGAGAGATCTGCATTGGCTCCCAGTAATAATAATAATAATAATAAATTTTATTTATATCCCGCCCTCCCCAGCTGAAGCCGGGCTCAGGGTGGCTAACAACAATAAAACAGTACAAAAGTACAGCATAAACAACAGTCTAAAATCATTCGTTATAAAATTAATTAATTCAAGCCACTGGCAACCATTGGGCCAGAGCTCCGCGAAGATTGCCGAGGGAGGGAGTCAGGCTGTGCCCTGGCCAAAGGCCTGGTGGAACAGCTCTGTCTTGCAGGCCCTGCGAAAGTCCCGCAGGGCCCTGGTCTCTTGTGACAGAGTGTTCCACCAGATCGGAGCCACAGCCGAAAAAGCCCTGGCTCTAGTTGAGGCCAGCCTAACTTCTCTGTGGCCTGGGACCTTCAAGATGTTTTTATTCGAAGACCGTAAGTTTCTCTGTGGGGCATACCAGGAGAGGCGGTCCCGTAGGTACGAGGGTCCTAGGCCGTATAGGGCTTTAAAGGTTAAAACCAGCACCTTAAACCTGATCCTGTACTCCACTGGGAGCCAGTGCAGCTGGTATAGCACCGGATGAATGTGGTCTCGCAGCGAAGACCCCGTAAGGAGTCTCGCTGCAGCATTCTGCACCCGCTGGAGTTTCTGGGTCCATCTCAAGGGCAGCCCCACGTAGAGCGAGTTACAATAATCCAGTCTGGAGGTGACCGTCGCATGGATCACAGTGGCTAGGTCAGGGCGAGAGAGGTAAGTTTCCAGGCACAGTTCAAAGTGTTGGTGCTGACCTTTAAAGCCCTAACCAGCCTCAGTCCAGTATATCTAAAGGAGCGTCTCCACCCCCATCATTCTACCCGGACACTGAGGTCCAGCGCTGAGGACCTTCTGGAGGACCCCTCACTGAGAAAAGTCAAGTTACAGGGAACCAGGCAGAGGGCCTTCTCGGTAGTGGCACCCATCCTGTGGAATGTCCTCCCAAAAGATGTCAAAGAGAACAACAACTACCAGACTTTTAGAAGACATCTGAAGGTAGCCCTCTTCAAGGAAGCTTTTAATGTTTGATGCATTACTGTATTTTAATATTTTGTTGGAAGCCACCCAGAGTGGCTGGGGAAGCCCAACCAGATGGGTGGGGTATAAATAAATTTTTATTAATTTATTATTATTATTATTATTATTATTATTATTATACCAGCTGAAGCAGCTAACTTCACCCTGCTGCATTGCAAGACCCTCCCT